CAAAAAAAATGATGCTGTCTACAGATAAAGTACAGAAATAGCATGTAAGTGAAATATGAACCTCGAACCTAAATATTCAAAAACTCCAAATGTATAATAAAAAGTCTGTATGAACAAAATAAATCATCCCAGTAAAATGGTGGATGCACAGAACAGACTGGTTATAGTGAAATGGCCAATGAGGTATGGCATCAAAGCCAAGACATCTAATATTGTTAAAGAAAAGAAGTGTCCACAGCTACCAGAGAACATACAACATGGATTTTAGTTGATCTCCAATTTGCCTTTAATGGACAGCCTCCTACTCATGCTAATGTCTTGATTACCACTGTGCAAAAAGTTTGCAAATTAAATAAAATGATTCCAGTTGGTTACCACAACCCATTTAGAAGAATGTATTCAATACATACACACCCATCTTGCACAGGGGGCAAGGAAACGAAGCACAGTTATTATTTGTTGTTGAAGGCATTGTCATCTAGAAATAAACCTGGGGTATTCCTGACAGAATTTAGGCTTACAGGATGAAAACCCTGTGGGAAGTATTCAGTGGCTGTGGAAGCTCTTCATGTCTAAAAACTAAAAATCCCAGGAAGGAAAACAAAAGGTGTGCTGTATCCAGCTAGCCTACTGAAACAGCTATGGCTGCAACTGTTAGAAATTATACATTGTGTTAGCTTTTGAAGCGCTGGCATTGACTCCCAGTAGTACAAAAAATATATTCAAGATTGTTACTGTACTTGTACGAAAAATTTTTAGAAGTCAAAGGGAGACAGGTGGACAGATTTCTGTGAAAAGTCATCTTGAGTACTACAGTTTAACAGACATGGTAAAATTCTTGTTTCTAATGTTTGTTTTAAATAAAATCAACAAACTGGAGATAGGAGCATGGATATGTGACTTGGAAATAAAGTTAGTCTTGAAATATAAATAAAATATGGACAGCACACTCAGAAAAAACATCTTAGAGCAATGTTCCAAAAGGTACCCATCCTCTCTTCTCCAGGGTCCTGCTGTCCATGTTCGTGTGTAAGGTGTTCTCCGTCACTGTGCAGACCAAAAGTAAGTTACCTAAGCAACTGCATTTGCCAACTCACCACTGCTTCTGGAACGTTCTGTCCCACAGCATCCCTTTCTCGTCTGTTTAGCCACAGCCTAAAGTCCATCTCAGGCACAGCTCAGAACTCACAGACTCTATCCTTCTAACCTGCAGTCATCTCCTCCTGGCCTTACACACTCACATCTGTGCATGCAGTGTCACAGAACTGCTGGTAAACATCAGATGACCAGTACTAGTATTTTCTTTAGTATGCATCAAAGGTAATCTGGGATAACAAATAATATAAATATTAATCACCACCTATTTTAGAAAAATTATAGCCAGTAATTCCATTATCCTAAATATAAGTATTTCTGCAGAAATAAAGCCTCACATTCAGAATTTAATCTTCAATCAAAAAAATTCACTACCTGTGCTTAATGGACCAGACCTGATAAAACACCACCAAGCAGCCAGACCAGTCTCAACATTTCATTCAGAAATTCAAACTGCACAACAAAGAATACAGAGCCCTGGATGCCCACAACTAATTAAATTCCCAAGGCTGGAAACTGCATGTCACCCACGAAGTCACCGAAGTCCCCCGCAGAAGTTCTCACCTACCCATAGTGCCCATCAATCTAAAACACAGGGTTATTACAGAAACACAGGGTTATTACAGTCTGCCCGAGGACTAGCTGGGACCAAATAACGAAACACTCTTTCAAACCCAAGGAAGTGGCCAGCGGGTCCCACCAGTCCCCTGCCCACCCCAGCCCAGCAGGTTCACGAGTCTCCAGCTGTTCTGTTCCATGCTGTCTCTCCTCTTTGATGTGCTCGGTGTGAATTTTCCTCTCAGGTTGGCTGGACCCAGTGTGGTAGCCAGGGCTGTTTTAAGGTCAGGAAATGAGCATCTATTGGCAATGAGAAACAGCTCTCTGAACGGGGACACAGGACAGCCTTCAAGGAGATTATCTTCCCTTACTGTCGTCAAGCTTCATATGCTCTTCAACACACCACACTCTGGTGTTTTCCTCTCTCCTTAAAACATTTCACCTTTCAATTTTAAGGGCTTTTTTGTTGGTACTTGGGATCAAATCCAGGGTACTTCCCACTGTGCTGCATCCCCAGCCTTTTTCAATGTTTTTAAATTTTGAGACCACGTCTAAGTAGCTTAGATGGAACTCAAACTTTCAATCCTCCTGCCTCATCCTCCTGAGTACTGAGATTATACACATGTATCACCACACCTAATTTAAACCCCCCTTTTTTCTTTTAAAAATATTTTTTAATTTTTATTTTATTACGACATGTTTGCAGTTCACGCAGTTTACAGTCTACGTCGGAGCGTGGTTACAGGTACCTGCCACGGCTTGCTTCTTTCTAAATAAGAAGGTTACTCTTTCCCTTCCCTCTTCCTTCCTCTGTCCTCTTCCAACTCCCCTATTCCACTTTCATTCTGTTGTTATTGCTGATCATAGCTCATGGCTAGGGCACATAACATTTACATTAACTGAGGTGATTAGGTCCCTGTATACAGCAGTATTTATTCCACTTATTTCCCCTTCCCTTCCTCCTCATTCCTCACTCTTTTCCCCTTGGGCCACTTCTCTGTTGCAAGAGATTAATCTCCTTGCCTCCTTCTATCCAGCTTTACTGTTCTTTTTGTTTGAACTTTGGCTCACTCAAATGAGAGAAGCCATATGATATTTAAACTTGGGGGTCTGGTTTATTTCACTGGACATTATATTTCAGGTGCATCCATTTTCCTACAAATGTCTCACAGTTGCCATTCTTTAGAACAGAATAGTGTTGCATTATATATAGATACCACATAATGGAGTAGATACTCTCAGCTTCCAAAGAGGTTTTCTAATTATAATTGAAGTAACCCTGAAAAACATTCTAATTTAGTCTTTAAAATACAAGCCATAAATCATTTATGTAACATTATACAGTAGTAATTTCCAGTCACCAAAGTAGTAATGCTGGCCATGGTATCCAGCCATGAGCAATTCTATATTTAATATTGAGTATACGTGCAATGATAAATAATGGATAAAGAAGACTGACATTCCAGTCGTCTCCAAAATACACTTTTATTAAGGCTTAATTGCTTTTAATCTGTCATGTTTACTGAGCACAAAAGTCAGAAAATCTACTTATTGTTGTCTATGAATCTAGAGAGAGATAAAACCTTGGCTGAAATGATTAAGAATTAAGGCCTCAGAAATGGATTATATTACACAGAGGACAATGAAGAAAGAAAGAAGGGGGCAGGAAAAGAGAGAAGGAAGAAATACTTACCCTTATGTTGTTGTTTAACTCTCCACATTATGGTAACCATTGTTGATAACCTTGAACTCTGTTTTTACATCATGTGCTATGTCTATCCTTGGTTTTGACTGACAGCTTTATTTTGTCATATTTGGTTTTATTCTCTTCCAAAAAAAAAAGTAATAAGAACTATGGGGGTAATAAAACCCAAAATGTGTAAACTTTGTCTTAAAAAATAGAGGGAAAAAAAGTGCTCTAAAGGATACAACTGCAAGTGTGTTTAGGTGTGTTAAGATAGATGACCATATTACTGAGTTTTTGTTGGATCATTGAACACAACTGTTTGCAGTCTCACTGTTTGAATGCCACTTTGTATGCTTTAATCCTGTAACTTGAACAACTATTTCTAAGATGATAATATGTAATCTATTAACTAGTGATTTCTTACTGTTTTTTTTGTAATTCTGTATTACTTGTACCTTTACACTGTTTTGTTTTGTTTTGTTTTTTTCTTTTTTTCCTTTTAAATTAAAAAAAAAAAAATCTCCAGTGTGCCCCAAGAGCCTGTGTGCTCAGAGGCGTGACTTCTGAAAGTGACCAAACTACAGGGGTGCTACAGTGGACCTGCTGTTAGGAGATGGACCGGGACCCAGGGAAGGACCTGGAAGGGTGTCTCTCCCTCCCTGGCTCCTCCTTTCACTGCCTGCTGGCTGCCACGATGGGAGCAGCATTCCTTTGTCCTGGCCCCTCTCTAATTCCAACTGTGGATGAAAATGTGAGCCAAAATAAGCCTCTCCTCCTTTAAGTCCTGGGGGTCTGGTAGTTTGTCCCAGCAACAAAGAAAGTAACTAAAACACCTTATGTGGCACTGAAGGGCTGTCTCCTGAGGAGAACTGAGGTTCTTCATGCAAAGTATTACAAGGCGGGGACCAACACAAACATCCCTCAACCTCATCCCCATGAACTCTTTGTCTGTGATATGCCTAGCAGTGGATTAGATGATGGGGGTCCATGATCAGCAAGACAGAGAGCATGATATGTACCAGTCCATAGGATCAGCATGGCAGCAATCTATCAAATATAACAGGAGGACAGAAGGAGAAATGAATTCTACCTATGGAAGGAAAAATAATCCCATGGAAGATGTGAGTGTTCAATTGGATACTGGAGAAATAGAAGAAGTTAACCAAGAAGGTAAGTGGGAAAGGGAATGCTTCAGACAAAAGAATCCCTGTCTACAAATCCTCCTCTCTCCAGTAGATTGAAGTTAATAAAACCAACCTACCAATTCTAAATGAGCTAAGCTAGATGTTTAATTACTGTTGAGCTTTCTCCAACAGCTATTCACCTCCAGCTTGTCATCTGCTTACTACCTACAAAAGTGACCACTAACCTTGCATAAGCAACACAACTCTCCCAACAGTAATAACACTGGGATGAAACTTACGAGAACAGATCACTGCCACGGACAATCGCTCACCTACATATACACTGCAGCCTCAGTAAAATAGGGGGAAAGCTTTGTTTCCTGGCCGAGTACACATTTTATTAAGTACTTTTTAATCTTAATATAAATGGATAAAATTGGAAAGCTATGTATCCGCTTTTGAACTCTACCATTTTCAGTAAGTCACTGAACACATCACAGAACAAGACATTTTTATGAGATGATTATTATTCTTACCTCCATAGGAAAAGCTTTGAAATTAACTGTGTGCTCAGAACCACGCTGGTTTTCTCTCCCCCAGTGAAATCTTACTTCATACAGTTCAAATTCATGGCCTTGAGGCAATGGTCCTCCTGAAAGAACTGAAAAACAAAATAAATTTTATTGAATTACAGCACATATTTATCAGCAAAGCAATATAAACACTAGAGAGCTCCTTTTTTGTTATGCTTGTTAGACTGTCTGGCCAAAAAGCTCCCATGGGCTCTACAGATTATAAAGCCAAAATGAGAAATACATGACAACGTTAAGTCACAGTTTTAATTTGTATCCATCAGTACAACAGACTTTAATTCAGAGAATAAGTGTAGGCTAAAAGGAACTTAAGAGAATCAGTATTAATTCAGTGAGCAATAAAATCATGCTTAAAAGTCAAATGATCACAGCATCACATGAAAAACAAACATAAATAAAATTATGATAAAACATTAACAAAGCTCAAAATATTAACATGGGCCTACGGGGCCCTATTTCTTTTTCTCATTTATGATATAATCCAGATCTTAGTTGCAAGTGAAAGCATAATAAAGGCCAATGAAAAATATATTTACACAAAAACCTGTCGTAAAGTATTAAAGTACTTTCTTTAGCTAAACATTCCCTGATAGTATATGTAACTTGAAATAAAGCAAACAGCCAACTTTGGCACAAATATAATTTGTTTAACTCTGGGTATTTTTCCTCTAGCAACTCGCAGTTCTAAACGGTACTGTTAAGCATTTTAGGCTGTTTTTATCAAAGAACTAACAAACCTCACCACTATCACCACCCTAGAAGTGGGATCTTAAAAACAGACTCTTTTAATCACACTTGAGTTGGATCAAAGAAGTGACACAACCCAGACCCCTCCTCTGAGGAGTTTTCCTTCATCTTCCAACTCAGTGGAAGAGTGCAAACTGATGTAGTCATGTGTATTTGTTTGGTTGGTTTTTCATTCAATAGTTTATTACAAATAAATTGTCTGCTTACATCAACATACAAAATATATAGTCTGAATGTGCAAAGTAACAAGAAGGACAAAGGTAAACAAAGAAAGGCAAAAACAAATAGAGAAATAAGGCTATCACACCAAGTGAAGGCTGCAAAATCCTTGCCAAAGACAACATGTAAAAGTATAATCTTAGCTTTCCAGCAGCTCAAGTGCAACTCTAAGAGTAAGTGATTTTAATTTTTCAAGTGGACAAATCTCATGCTGAAGGGAAAGGGAGGTGAGAGGCAGGGTCATGAAGATAGGATTGACTCACAGGATTTTAGTGCTCACCTTCATTTTTGGTCTGATTTAGGTCACACGATAAATTTACAGGGTCAGTGTTATTGTCACAAATAGAGAAGAATAGTGGGTTTAGAGGGACTAAGTGTGATTTTCCCCAGTTACCCACTTAATAAACCCAAGCCAACACTTGAAACTGCAGTCTTCTGAGACCATCAAAAGGGAGAGACAGAAATGGGGAAGCCCAAACTTTCTTATCTGTAGGCATGATCTAAGATACGGTGGGTTCTCTATGCCGATTTCTGAACTGCAGTTCATCCTTTAAGAGCTGCATGTCATCCTATTTTTCAGACAACAAAAAAATCTAAATACATGGATCATCAAGGTTTACAGGTACTCAGGACTGCAGTGTGCCAACTTCCTCTTCAGAAAGCAGCCATGCCGTGGATTTAAGAATATATAAGGCGTTCTATTTCTAGCAAGTGCCAGAGTTTCCAAATAACCTCACCACTCCCTCTGTTCTCTTGGCTGTCCAAACTTGGGCTTAGCAAAAGCTAAGAAGGAGACAGAGAGTCTACTCACTGCATACCTCACCTCTCCAACCAAAGGAACAGAAAGAGAGGAAGAGACTTCCAAGTGTCACATCACTATCCAGCCTGCATCCCAGGAGAAAACACATCCCTCTTCATCGACCAGGACTTGACCTGATGCTTCCCTGATGCTTCAGAAGGTGAGTTTTGAAGGTTTATTTTTTAAGAATGTGATAAAAATGCATTAGAGGACACTTAGTTCCACACTGCTAAGGAAAACCGAAGTGGAATACCATGATACAAAATACACGTCAAATGGAAAAGAGGATCTTAAAATCTTCATTCAGAAGCCCTTCATCTCATATACTCAGAACGCACATGCTTTCTGGAACTGTTACCCAGAAGTCTACCAATATTTCTTTATAGAAATGGGTGACACAGCTGATCTTGACAGGGAATTTAGGGAACCAAAAAGAGACGTAGGCTACAAAAATATATTCCCCACATGACCAATGCCCAGTATTTCTTTAAAGGTCTTCATTTTAAAGCTTGGAGACAGAGCTTATATTTTACACATCCTGGAAATTCAAGCTTCACAGATCCACATCTTCATAGAACGTTCAAACCCCAAGCAGATCCAGTGACCATCTACCATGTTATACTGGGCACTAGAACATTTAGGATACATTGATTTTGACAAAACCAAGAAAATCTCTAACCTTGTGGATTTACATTTCTTAGAGCTGAAAAGAAAATTCACCCACTTATGAAGATCAAACATTGCCGAGTGATATTTGCTATCTATATGGCAGGGTTATTAACTATAGTGTTGTCATGTTCAATTACATTACAGTGAAACAACAGATCTTCATGTTCTTATACTCCAGAGATTGGAATGGATACGGAAAAAGGAAGCACTTTCCCTAGACCTTGTTATTCAGACAGAGGTGACTAAAAGAAGGCTTTCAGTCAGGAATCAGGCCCTGAGCACTTTTTACTTTACTGCAGAAAAATAATCCAAAATTAATCTACACTAAGCCCATATGAATACACAGAGCCATTAAAAAATGACAAGTACTGGATTCAGTTTTATGATGTTCCAGATAAAAGTATCACCTGTTCATTCCGAGAGTGCTTGTGTTTGTAGACTAAAAATAGATTATAGCTCAGGTTTCTCCACCTGGCAACGTCCTTTTATTCTACCTTTTTATGGCTTATATTTTTATAAGGAAACCACTTATGCCAAAAGGAGCATACCTTTCCTATATTAATGAATATCAAGTTGTTCTGAGTGGTACTTGGTCACTACATAAAAATTTATTAGTTGTGAAGACAACAGGTTCAATAAAACTACAATGCCACAACGTAAAACTTTACCTGTAATATTCTGGATCCTTTACAGTAACAAACTCGTGAAAGAATATGCAATAAGCTAGTGGCGCTGCCACTGCTTCCATTTATTAAATGCCACTTTACTAAGCAGGTCATTATGCCATTTTGAGACCCACAAAGAGTTTCCAGAGGAAACTTGTGCAAAACGTAAGATCCCAGCTATGCTTCAGGAAAGTATTTCCCATGCAGTTTGATTCCTGTTCATGAATTCTTTACCTACCCCTATGTCTTCAAGTTTTTTAATTAATTTATCTTCCAACAGATTTAGTGTTTCTGTTTTAATATTCAGATCTTTGATCCATTTAGATTTTAGTTTAGTATATGGTGATAGGCATGAGTCTAGTCTTAGTTTTCAGCAAATGGAGAGCCAGTTTTTCCAGCACCATTTATTAAAGAGACTGGCATTCTTCCAGTCAACATGTTTGGCCCCTTTATCAAAGATAAGGTGGTTGAGTGTGTTTGCAGTTATGGTTGTATCTTCTAATCTATTCCATTGATCTTCAGCTCTGTTTTTATTCCAGTACCATGTTGATTTTATTACACTTGCTTTCTAGTATAACACCAAATCAGGGATTGTGATGCTTCTTTCCTTGCCTTTGTTGCTTAGAATTGCTTTTGCTATTCTAGGTCTCTTCTGATTCCAGATGAATTTTAGGATTGATTTTTCTAGATCTATGAGGTATGTTGATGGTATTTTCATTGGGATTGCATTGAATCTGTATAACATTTTTGGGAGAATGGCCATTTTTACAATGTTTGTTCTTCCTATCCATGAGCAAAGGATGTCTTTCCATTTTCTGAGATCCTCTTCAATTTCTTTTTCAGGGTATTATAATTTTCCCTGTATAGATCTTTTATTAACTTTGTGAGATTAATTCCTAAGTATTTCATTTTTTGGAATGTTAGTGTGAAGTGTGCCTTCTTTTAGTTCTTTCTCAGTGATTTTGTTATTAGTGTATAGAAATGCTATTAGTTTTTTGAGTATTGATTTTGTATCCAGCTACACTGCTGAATTTATTATATCTAGGAGTCTTTCAATGGCATTTTGGGTCTTCTATGTAGAGTATCATGTCATCTGCAAGTAATGATAATTTAACTTTTTCTATTCCTATCTTTACCCCTTTTATTTCTCTATCTTGTTTAATTGCTCTGGCTAGTACTTCCAGTACTATGTTAAATAGGAGTGATGATAAGGGACATCCTTGTCTTGTGCCTGATTTTAAGGTAAAGGTCTTCATTTTAACCATTTAATATGATGCTGGCTGTTTGGTTTGTCACAGACGGCCTTTATCATATTGAGGTAAAAACCATCTATTCCAATTTTCTGTAAGGTTCTTATCATGAATGAATGTTGGACCTTGTCAAAAGTTTTTCTGCATCTATAGAGATGATCATGTGATTCTTACTTTTGGCTTCACTGATATGGCGGATTACATTTATTGACTTATGGTGAACCGTCCCTGCATGCCTGGGATGAATCTGACTTGGTCATGGTATATAATCTTCTTGATGATTTGCTGCATCCTGTTTGCCAGTATTTTATTGAGGATTTTTGCATCTGTGTTCACTAGGGAGATTGGCCTGGGAGTTCTCTTTTTTAGTTGGGTCTTTCTCAGGTTTTGGTACTAGATTAATATTTGCTTCCAGTAATAACTTAGGAAGAATTGCTTCCCTTTTGATTTCATTGAAGAGTTTGAGGAGTGTCGGTATTAAGTTTTCTTTGTATTGCTTATACAATTCCACAGTGAATCTGTCTGAGCCTGGGCTCTTCTTTGTAGGTAGGGACTTCATTACATTGTCAATTTCATTAATAGAAATTGCATTATTCAGCAGTTTTACATCTTCTTGACCTAGCTTTGGTACTTCATATGTTTCTAGGAATCTGTCCATTTCTTCTATTATTGAACCTATGAGAATAGAGGTTTTTGAAATAGGTGTTGATGATCTCCTA